CATTAGAGGAAGTGTGTCACTGTGGGGGTGGGCTTTGAGGTCTCCTATGCTCAAGCTATGTCCAGTGTGATACAGTCTTCTGCTGCTGCCTACCCATCAAGATGTAGGACTCTCAGCTCCTTCTCCAGCACCATGTCTGCCTGCATGCCACAGTGAAGATAATGGACTAAACCTCTGAACTGTGAGCCAGCCCCTATGAAATACTTTTTTTTTTTTTTTTTTTTATAAGAGTTGCTGTGGGGGCTAGAGAGATGGCTCAGAGGTTAAGAGCACTGGCTGCTCTTCCAGAGGTTCTGGGTTCAATTCCCAGCACCCACACAGTGGCTCACAACCACCTAATGACATCTGGTGCCCTCTTCTGGCCTGCAGGGATCCTCACAGATAGAATACTGTATGTATAATAAATAAATAAATCTTTAAAAAAACAAGTTGCTGTGGTCATGGTTTCTCTTCACAGCAACAGAAACGCTAACTAAGACAATTGGCCTGGTGAAATCACCCACGGACCCTTGGGAGATTATTGAAGCCCAGACCCCAAGCTAGACTCTAAAATAAGTATCTTGTACATGTGGGGGTGGGGTAAGGGCTCAGCCACTACTTGTTTTAAGAGTGCCTCAGTGGCCTGTCTGCTTGGGAGCTTCTTACACTGGCCTTTTGATTTATTTATTTATTTATTTATTTATTTATTTATTTATTTATTTATTTATATTTTATATGCATTGATGTTTTTGCTTGCTTGTATGTCTGTGTGAGGGTGTTGGATCCCCTGCAACTGGAGTTACAGACAGCTGAGCTGACATGTGGGTGCTGGGAATTGAACCCGGGTCCTCTGGAAGAGCAGTCAGTGCTCTTAACCGCTGAGCCATCTCTCCAGCCCTGATTTTTTTTTCTATCTGCTTTGTCTTTTGTATGTTCTCCTTGGGCGAGATGCATTTTTAATCCTTATTTTTCTTGTAATTTTCATGGGATTTCAGAAGGGAGAGGATCTAAGTAGGTGTGTTTAATCTATCATGTTTTTTTTTTTTTTTTTTTTTGTTTTTTTTGTTTTTTCGAGACAGGGTTTCCCTGTGTAGCTTTGCGCCTTTCCTGGAGCTCACTTGGTAGCCCAGGCTGGCCTCGAACTCAAAGAGATCCGCCTGCCTCTGCCTCCCGAGTGCTGGGATTAAAGGCGTGCGCCACCACGCCCTAATCTATCATGTTTAATTGGAAGTCTGCAAACTTGAGAAATCAATTTAATTAAATTTTAATATGAAGGTTTACACATTCACTATACAAATTGAAAGTGCTTTACTCTTTCCATTCCTCGGTGGTAACTACTGGCCTGTAGCTCTAGCAGTTTCTTAGTTAAACTTACTGTTTAATTATAGCAACCAAATTATGTTTTTTCCCCTCTGCCTCACACACGCTAGGCAAATTCATTCCTTTGCTCTCATCTGTTGTTTAAGATTTTTTTCTTTTTCTTTTTCTTTTCTTTCTTTTTTCTCTTTTTTTGAGACAGGATTTCTCTGTGTAGCTTTGCGCCTTTCCTGGAACTCACGTTGTAGACCAGGCTGGCCTCAAACTCACAGAGATCCGCCTGCCTCTTGCCTCCCGAGTGCTGGGATTAAAGGTGTGCACCACCACCACCACCACCGCCGCCGCCTGGCTAAGATTTATTTCTTTATTTTCTGTGGTCCTGGGGATTGAACTCAGGACCCTGGTTACGCTAAGTGTGTGCTGGATGGCTGGGCTCCACTTCCAGACCCTAAAAAATTAAGTATCTCTGTCTTTTGCTGTACTTTGCTCAAACTTTAAATTTTGTAAATTACTTATTATTATTATTATTATTATTATTATTATTATTATTATTATTTTGTGTATGTTTGTGTGCCTGAGTGTACATGCCCATGTACTCATGCCACAGCACACATGTGGAGGTTAGAGGACATCTTGGTGGAGCGGAGTCTTTCTTTTCAGCAGTATGTAGTATGATGATTAGTGTAGGATTCAACACGTATCATCAGGTTTGTCTAGCAAGCACACATTTACTCACTGAGCTGTCTCAGTGGCCTCATTCTGCCCCATCTCAATGCGTCTGAGTGACTTTCTTTGTAAATGGAGGCAGAGTTTTTCTGTCCCAACCGCCTGGTCCCAAATAAACACACAAAAGCTTATATTCATTACAAAATGATTGGCCGACAGCTCAGACTTACTACTACCTAGCTCTTACATTTAAATTAACCCATTTCTATCAATCTACGTATTGCCATGTAGCCCATGGCTTTATTGGTCCTCTGACATCTTGCTTCTTGGGCAGCTCGCTAACATCTCTCTCTCTCTTTTTTTTAGTTTTTAGTTTTATGTATGTATGTATGTATGTATGTATTTATTTATTTATTATATATGTAGTGTTCTGCCTGCATTGTCTGCACACAGAAGAGGGCACCAGATCTCATTACAGATGGTTGTGAGCCATCATATGGTTGCTGGGAATTGAACTAGAACCTCTGGAAAAGCAGCCAGTGCTCGTAACCTCTGAGCCATCTCTCCAGTCCCTGGCATCTCTCTTGACTCTGCCCTTCTTCATCCTAGTCCTCAGTTTGATTGTCCCATTGAACTTTATCCTGCCTTGCTATAGGCCAGACAGCTTTATTATTAACCAATGAGAGTAATACATATTCACAGCGTACAGAGGATCATCCCACAGCATTTCTCTGTTCCTGGCTTGTTCCCAAACACAAACCTTTCCTCTGGGGAGTTCTCTCTTCGACTTTTAATTCCCAGCCTACAAGTCAACTTTTAGTTTCCTCTTGGACAGAATTAATGCTTCCTTCTTTGTGCCCTGTACCATTTGATTCATACATAACTTTACTGATTCTTGCTCCACCTGGACATTATTGATCATACTTTGTGTATGACCTGCAAACTTGAATTGGTGAGGACTATGGTGGTCATCTCTATGTCGCCACTGTCTGTGCTGTGGCCACCTTCTCTCTATAGCTTTCTTTTTTTTTTTAAAGTTAGATTCATTTGATTTTGTGAATGTTTTGCCTATATGTATGTGTATGCACCACATTATTACTGTAAACGAGGCAATTCCACGTAATTTATTTGGTAATCAAAAGAGGTTTATTTCTGGGATAACTAACTTACAGCCAATAGGGATTGGTTACAGAATCTGGGAGAGATGAAGTATCCCAAGTCTTAAGGGGCTCCTTCTCAGCCATGCCCCAGGGGCAGGTCAGCCCCAGGGGCAGGTCATAGGTAGGTGTGGCAGTTACCTGCTGTCACTCTAGGGGCAATGTTTCAAGGTCAAAGCTGGAACAGCTACCCACTACACCACATGTGTGCTTGGTGCTCACAAAGGTCAGAAGAGGGCATTGGGATCCCCTGGAACTGACGTTTCAAGGTAGTTGTAAGTTGCCATGTGGGTACTGGAAAATGAACCTGGGTCCTCTGTAAGAGCAAGAAGTGCTCTTAACTGATGAGCTAGCTCTCCAGCTCCAGTCACTTCCTCCCAGAGTTTATGTGGCTCTTTCCCCCTTTCTTAAAGTATCCTCCCAATCCCCCCATCTTTTTTGAGACAGGGTCTCTTTATGTAGTCCTGGATGTCCTGGAACTTGCTTTGTAGACCAGGCTAGCCTTGACCTCACAGAGACCCATCTGCCTCTGCCCATCCAGTGTACCACCACACCCAACTATGTGGCTTTTTCTTTTTGATGTCATTCAATGAAGCTAAGTTCTTAAATTTAATACAGTTCACATTTATCAAGGCTCCCTTTACAATTTGTGCATATGACACTTAAGCCATCTTGAACTCATAAGGATGTTTTCCTTTAAAACTTGATTTTCTCATTGGACTCTTGACTTCAGTTAGTTTCTGCATGTGGAACTAGTTAAAGGGTCCAGCAGATAACTAGTGTTCAGCTCATGTCCTGAAACCCTTCATCTTCCCTCAATGATCTGGAATGCCTGCCTATCAGAATCTAGCTCCCACAGAGGTCTGGAGGCTTCTGGGTTCTTTAGGAGATTCCATACTTATGCCTGTGTCAATGTTGCATGGTCTTAATTTTCATAGCCTAATTGTACATGTGGAATATGTCCAATTCCAAGTCCTTGAAGCATGTTCTTCTTCAGTAATGTTTTGATTATGCTTTATCCTGTGTCTTTCCATATAATCTTTAGATCAGTTTGTGAAGGGCCAGGTAAAAATCCTGTTGTAAATTCGATTAGAATTACATTGAATTGACAGATGAACCCCCCATTCTTTTTTTTTTTTTTTTTTTTTTTTTTTTTTTTTTTTTTTTTTTTTTTTTTCGAGACAGGGTTTCTCTGTGTAGCTTTGCGCCTTTCCTGGAACTCACTTGGTAGCCCAGGCTGGCCTCGAACTCACAAAGATCCGCCTGCCTCTGCCTCCCGAGTGCTGGGATTAAAGGCGTGCGCCACCACCGCCCGGCGAACCCCCCATTCTTATCTTTGTCTTCCCACAACGGAAACAGCTTCTGATGTTTATAGAATGGGTGCCTCGTAATGTTCCCAAAGTACATCTTATCAGTCAACATCTGGTCATTAGAGGTCAGTACATCAGGATCACAGATAACTCAGATCCATCTGTGTATTCTTACTATTTAACAACTATCAGTAAATTTCTTCTTTGACGCCTCATTCTAACGCCTGCTTAAAATTTATAGATCTATAATTGCATCCTCCCACTAAGTACAAATCCATAACCTGCCTCCTGAAAGACATTCTAAGATTCCCTATCGGTATCTCAGGCAGAGAAGCAGCCGAGACTCGGCTCAGGATGGAGAGTCTCAGGATCACAGTGGCTCTGGCTGGAGTCAGTGGCTTAAGGAACGGAGGAGAACTACAAGTCCCGGCAGCCCGCGCGGCACCGGCTTTCAGTAAGCGCCGGGGTGGCGGAGGCACGGTTTCCTGGAGTTCGGGATCCGGGCTGCGGCGGTCCTGCTTCCCTTCCCGCGGGGGTGAGTAGCACCCGCGCACGGAACCCCGGGCAGACCCGGTCGCCAGGTCGCGCGGCACGTGGAACGCGGGGGAGCGGGTGCAGACGTGCTCCCCGCCTTCTGAGCTCAGGCTTTGCAGCCCTGGCGAAGCTGGGAGGAAACTCGGGCGTGTGACCTTGTCACCCTAGCAGGCGCGACCACGTGGCTTAGGTGACTCGCAGTGCCCCGCCCCCCCGTCCTCTGCGACTCTGTAGCTCGGTGCCCTAGCGGTCGTTAGCGTGGACTGGTCACTTTGGTGGCCCAACCTTGCGTGCACCGGAGTAGGCGGAGGTGGAGAGGGGTTGCGAGTGGCTCCGCCAGAAGCATTCACACCTTGGTGGCCCTGTGGGCTCCCACGCAGAGGTAGCTGGGGCGGTGAGCGTGGAGTGGTGAAGTTCAGGGGGCTCCCCAGAGATCGGGTCACCTAAGCTTGCAACAGGCGCCAGTCTTACATCTGATCACGAGGACTTCTTTCCAGCTGCGCGGTGCTTCCAGCTGATTTGTGGAGAGAAGCCTCTTAGAAGACACCTAGTACAGCTGTCCCCAGAGTTCAGTGGCATTTACTTGCCACCAAGCGGGAAGCTTAGCGGTCAGTAGGCGCTCAAGAAATAACTGCGGAGTTGACGGGACTTAGACTTTTGTCCCTGCCTCAAGTTTTTCTTCTAGCGCCTCCTTGTCACTGTAGTTCTCAGGCTGTACGGTGTGCCGCAGAATTGTGTGGAGGGCTTGTTACTATACAGAATTCTGCCCACTCCCCTCCCAACTTCTGATTCTAGTATGGTATTTGAAATCTGGAATCGGCATGCCCAACATGAATCCTGGAGATGCGATGTTGCTGTCCTGGGGACCATGATTTGAATGCTACTGTTTTATAAGAAAAACAAACCCATAAATTCTTCATACTTGGTTATGTTTTTTTTCTTTTTCTTTTTTTCCCCCTGTAGTTGTACCACCTCTGGGAATTGCTTTACACATTGCACACTACCCTACCCCCCCCCCCCCCTTAATGTTACTACCTATATTCATGTAGTTTCATCACTTGGGTCATTTTTTCCCCCTGGGTTGCATCATAATTTATTTTACTGTGTTATTTGCTTGGTTGGTATTCAATAGGCCGTATGGTGTGAGATTTTCACCTCTGCTGAGAGAATTTGTGTTTTCTTTCCTTCCAAATATACTCTACCTCCCCGCCCCATTTTTGTCAGAGAAGGTCCTGGGGAATGAGAAGAGTGCTTGGTTTTGTCATCCATCCTTGTCTTGTTCAGCCCCAATAGGACAGCCCACTGGGTCACCAAGTTTCAATGTCCACGGCAGAGAACCACTGGCCACCCCAGGACCCAGCCAATTATTTGTTCATATCCACCCGTTGCTTTGGTGGCGGAGCAGACACACCTGGATGCAAGCTTTCGCTCCATTGACTCTTAACCCTTGGGCGGTTTCTTCCACTTCCTTGTGTGTAGAGTGAAACTCCCAAGATACGCCGCTGGGAATCTGAGTTGTGCAAGTAACACGAGCTATTAATTTAAGCACTTTGGGGAGGTTCGCTCTCTCCTCTTGTCTGCTGCTGGCTCTTTGCTCTTGGTCTTATGTCGTTAGTCCCCCTTTCCTAAGATGAGCTGAATGGAAGACAGCTTCTCTTCTGTGCCTGGGTGAGATTTATTTTTCTTATCTGCTGATGAACCTTGGCATTGGTCATGTATTCCTTCATTTAATTAGTATTGATCTGAGCAACTTTTAGCCATTACACACTAAGACATATAGGTAAAACTCAATCTTGCATTGAACTTTACCACTATTTGTAGGATGGGGAAGACTGTGAGCCTCCTTCGGTCAACTGTCCCTGGATATTTTGTTTGTTCTCTTGTCATCTTGTTTGTTCTCTCCAAGAGTATTTTTTGGGTCTTTTCTGGTTTGGAGAACATTCTCGAAAAAAAGAAAAAAAGTGATTATATGCCCAGTCTCTGTGGGAAATGGGAGGTAGCTAGGGTCACTTTTGGGGAAAACTGAGTTTGCTCCCTAAGTGGCTTCCCTTAACGGGGCTTTCCAGTTCACTGAGTGAGGATGAGTAGGGGTGTAATTTCAGGTCTGTATTCTTAGGATGCGGCCTGGGAAGGGGGCAGCCAGTAGATGGTAGGTGGAAAGACCATTTACAGAAAGTGCTGGATTTCATATTTCGTTCTGTCCTTGAGATGGACATTTTTGTTTGACCCTTAGCTTCCGCTTGTCCAACTTTCTGATGTATGTTGTCATGATGAACTGGGGTGTCTCCTCTGGCCTAGGGGCAAAGAGTTCATTCTTCCCCTTGATATGACAGTTAAACAGCCACGTCAGTGCTTCACGCTCTAATGTGTTATTTCTAGCGAGGAATAGTGTTTGATCTTTGATGTCATGCTATTGATTTCCAGAGCTGCAAACACTGCCTTCCACAGGCTTAGCACTTTGGGGGCTTGGTTGCAGGTCAGAAACTATGGTTTCCGTCTGCAGCAGCTGTATTTACTTCAAGCCAGTAGTAAGGACTTGATGTCTTGAGGTCCGAGTACCCCTATCAAAGAGATATGTCATTAAAGAAAGAGAGAAAGATGGGGCTGGAGAGATGGCTTATGGATATGAGCTCAGATGTGTTGCTTATCCCGGGTCTTGAGTTTGGTTCCTAGAACCCACATTGGGTGGCTCACAAATGTCTAACTGCAGCTCCAGGGCATCTGATATAACCCTTTTGACTTCCATGGACACCTGAACACACACACACAGGTACACACACACACACACACACACACACAGACACACACACAGACACACACACAGAGACACACACAAACACACACACACATACACAGACATACATAGAGGCACAGAGAAACATACACACATACACACACACAGACACAAACACAGACACATACACACAGAGACACACGCTAAAATAAATCTTAAAAAGAAAAAAGGACCACCTGAACATTGGCAGTGGGAAGGCCTGTTCATATCATTTCTTTACCACTTTCCTGGCTGAGCCCTCTGGGGCCGAATACTCACTCTGTGCCTTCGTGTCCTTACTTATACCTGAGAAGATTGCTTGCCTCGTCTCACTGAGCCGTGTGAAATATTAACAAGGTGAATGTACTGTGTGCACCTCCCGATCCCACATGTGTGTTGAGGACTCTGTAAAGGTTAATTTTTGCTCTAATATTATCTACTGATTATGTGTTAGGCTCTGGGTAGTCTCAGACCTCCTGCAAGGTGTGTGGCCTTATGAGAGGGAAGCAGGGGAAAGCCAAGGCAAGCAAACAGAACAGGGCAGGTGATTCATTAGCAGGGGCCTTAGTAATGAAAGGTGTTTTTCATTGACAGACACACTTCATGAGCGACAGGCCTTTTAAAATACCCCGAGGGAAGCAGCTCATTTTTATGTTGAAGACTCTCTGACACCTTATGGAAAACTCCAACTCTAATTTATTTAGGCACACTTTGGCTCTTATTTCATCTATTTTATGTATTTCAATTCCTACCACTTTTATTACCGAGGACATTTGTTAGAAAATGGGATGGCCTCTCTGTTCCTTTGATACTCAGAGGTGGTCTCAAGGGTAGAGGAGACTGCAGTCCGTGAGGGGCTGCTGCGGAGGACGGTACAGCAGGAGGGTGGGATTCAGAGGAGCAAAGTTTGGGAGGTAGTATGGGGGTGGGGAACAGGAAGAGAATGACGATTGAGCTGGAGGTCGCGGTATATTCATCTAGAGACCCGTGTTACTGGTTCTGCACAGGCCTCATGGGGAATAGAGTTGATCCATTCATTGATTAATTCAGTTAGTAAATGTTTTGGGAGCACTTACAGCGTGCTAGACTAAAGTCTGGCATGTTACGTCCTGGCGACCACATTTGGCCTGGCCTGTTGCTTTGCACTCGAGTGAAGAGTTGAGTAGTTGCCTCAGAGGTGGGGTAGCTCCCAAAGCTAAAAGTAGTTACTGTGTGGCCTTTTGTAGGAGAGCTTGCTGGCCTCTGTTCTAGGCACAGGGAACAGCAAGGTGGAACTCTTGGAGTGCAGTATGTGGCGTGTTGGAAAACTAGCAAGTTGGAATAGAGTGAGTGCAGGGCAAGGTGGACAGGCCAGAGATCCTTTGAGAAATCTGGATGAAGGCAGATCTGTTAGAACCTTGGCTCTTTGTGAGTGAATTGAGGTGATTTGGGTAGCTCAGCGCACAGAAGTGAATAGTTGGACTTAAATTTCTACATACGAATTAACTCAGGGAAGCTGAGGGTTGTAACACGAATTGCTAAATGGTCTTACAATAAAAAATCCCTGCCAGGCAGTGGCGGCGCACGCCTTTGATCCCAGCACTCAGGAGGCAGAGCCAGGAGGATCTTTGTGAGTCCAAGGTCAGCCTGGTCTAGAGATTCAGGAGAGGTACCAAAGCTACACAGAGAAACCCTGTCTCGGAAAAACCAAACCAAACCAAACCAAACCAAACCAAACCAAACCAAACCAAACCAAACCAAAACACAACACAACACAAAACCCTAAGCCAGATATTAGGGTAAATGCTGAAAGATTAGAGGGACAGAGGAACAAGCCATTGCCATGTCTCACTTTGCCAACTCCACGAATCCTCTGACTGAATGTTTTTAAGTCCTCAGCCAAAAGGGGTCCAGCTGAAAAAGCTCTAGTTCTGTCTCCTCACGCTTTATATACCTTTCTCTGCCCAGCCATATTACCTCCTTCCTAGTGCTGGGATTAAAGGCGTGTGACTCCCAAGTATTGGAACTAAAGGTGTGTGCCACTGCTGCCTGGCTCTGTTTCTCTTCTAGACTGAATTAATCTCATGTAATCTAGGGTGTCTTTGAACTCACAGAGATCTAGATTGATCTTTGCCTCCTGAGTGCTGGGATTAAAGGCGTGTGACTCCCAAGTACTGGGTAAAGGTGTGTGCCACCACTGCCTGACCTCTATGTTTAATCTAGTGGCTTGTTCTGTTCTCTGATCTTCAGGCAAATTTTATTAGGGTCCACAATATATCACCGCAGAGGGTGGTGGTGAGTTTGAGGCTAACCTTGTCTACATGGTGAGATCCAGGCTAGCCAGAGCTACATAGTCTCTATTTCAAACTGGTCAGTCAGTCAGCTAACCAACCAATCAACTAACCAACCAAAAAAATCTACTGTGGGAAGAGAATTGCTCTAATAGCTGACTTACTGTGTTTATCTCTAATTTGGTCTTGAGGTCTTAGAGCAGTGATTCTCAAACTGTGAGTCACGACCTTTTTTAAATAGGGGTTGCCCAAGACCATTGGAAAATACAGATATTTACATTACAATTCACAACAGTAGCAAAATTAAAGTTATGAAGTAGCAATGAAAATAATTTTATGGTTGGGGTCACCACAACATGAGGAACTGTACTAAAGGGTCACAGCATTAGGAGGTTGAGAACCACTGTCTTAGAGGGATGGCTGTGTCTTAGGGTTTCTATTGCTGTGAACAAACACCATGGCCATGGCAACTCTTATAAAGGAAAACATTTAATTAGGGCTGGCTTACAGTTTCAAGGGTTTAGTCCATTATCTTCATGACAGTGTGCAGGTAGACATGGTGCTGGAGAGGTAGCTGAGAGTTCTACATCCAGATTGGCAGGCAGCTGAAAGAGAGAGACTGGGCCTGGCTTGAGTATTCGAAACCCAAAGCTCCTCTCCCCCCACTTCCTCCAACAGGGTCACACCTCCTAAATCTCTCTCAAGTAGTGCTATTCCCTAATGACCACACATTCAAATATATGAGCCTATGGGGGTCATTCATATTCAAGCCGCCACAGACTATATCATAATAATTCTTTTTCTCATTATGTTGCCTGACATTAAAAAAAAAAAAGGAGAGGTTCTGGAGAGATGGAGAGATGGCTCAGTGGTTAAGAGCACTACTGACTGCTCTTCCAGAGGACCTGGGTTCAATTCCCAGCACCCATATGGCAGCTCACAGCTGTCTGTAACTCCAGAATCCAACACCCTCACACAGACACACATGCAGGCAAAACACCAATGCACATAAAATAAATAAATAAATAAAATTTAAAAAAAAAGGAGAAGGAATTTGCTCATAGTTTTGTATCAGGGTCGTTTGGCCTCCCATGCTCTTGGGCAGAGCATCATGGCGGTAGGATCACGTGGCAGAGGCTGCTCTCTTCTTGGCGGACAGGAAGCAGAGAGTGAGGAGAGGGCCAGGGACCAGTCTAACCTTCAAAGCCTTACTTATTCCGACTAGGCCCCATCTCCTTACTTTTTAGAACCTCCCAAAATATTGCCAGCAGCTGGGCCCGTAGGTTTTTTTTTTTTATTAAAATCATAACAATGGTCATAAATTTTACGTTTGACCCGATAGTCATCCATGAGAGTTGGTGATGGATGTTAACAATTAAGCTCTTCTTTTATCCCCAACAATCTAGCCTCCGTCTGCCTCCTCCGCTAGCAGCGTTTATCAGTAAGCAAATGAATAATGAAGTGGAGTGAATGCCTGTGATATTGTGTTGCTTCAGCATCCGTTTGGGATGTAGGTAAAGAAGAGTGCTGGCTGATTTGAGCTTTTGAGTAACATCACCCGCTGACTTATTCACAGTCTTACCTCAGAGTTGGCGGTTCAGGGGGGCCCTAGGGTGGGATCCAGCCACCTGCTTCTGAAGCGGCACAAAGGCTAGTTTTGTTCAGGTGTCCCTCAGACCATACTTCACACATCCCGGGCTAGGAAAACAAGGCTGTTGTGGTGTTTCAAACGACAGTACCTCCCACTCCCATGTAGGCTCATCAGTTTGAATGTTTGGTTCCCAGTTGGTAGATTGTTTAGGAAGAATTAGGAGGCGTGGCCCTGTTGGAGAAAGTGTGTCATTGGGTGTGCCTCCTGTCTGCAGATGTGGAGGTGAGCTCTCAGCTACTGCTCTAGCACCATGCCTGCCTGCCTGCTGCCATGCTCCCCACTGAGATGATTGTGAAAAGTCTCATGGAGTCCATGAAAAGTCAAGAAAGGAGAGAAAGTGGGCTGGAGAGATGGCTTGGCAGTTTGGAGTGCTTGCTGCTCTTTCAGAGGACCAGACATGATTCCCGGCACCCATGTCTAGTAGCTTCTAACTGCCTGCCACTCTGGCTCCAGGGACCCTGACACCCTCTTCTGTCTTCCCTGGGCACCTGAACACGTACAGATCTCTACGTATACACATTAATAAAATAAAATAAATCTTGAAAAAAAAAGAGAGGCGAGAAGCAGAGCAGGTAGGTAAAGTAGGAAGGGTTGGAAGAAGGTGCTGTATTTCAGTGCAGATAGATGCACAAGCTGTGTCGAATGCAAGCCTAGGAAGCCAACTGTATGCTCTTTAAAGAAATGGTGTAAAGTCCAAGATGAAAGTAAAAGACTGGAAAAAGATGGGCTTTGTGTATATTTAAAGAGAGGCCTGTGCCTATATTTATGAAGCATGAGTCAAAATAGACGACAGAGGAATTGGAGACGAGGCCGTTTGTAGCAGAAGCTTCTGGGCAGAGTGGAAACCAGGTGACAGAACGGGGCCAGAGCAGAAACTTAGGAGGCGATGACCTGCGCATTGCTGCTGTGTCTCTCAAGTCTTTGCTCTGATGGGAGGCTTGGTGATGTTCCTTTCTGTCTGGTGCCTGTCCCTTGGCACCTGCTGCTGGGTCAAGGGCTTTGGTTGGATGCAGAGTACTCAGGGATTGTTGAGGAGGTAGGTCATTGGACGAAGAGTCCCCGAAGAATGGCTATGTAGCCACTGGTGAATTGAGGAGGTATGAGTAAAGAGGGGTAGGGTCTTTCTGCCTAGTGGTATAAGTTCAATACCCAGTAGGCCTCCTAGGACAGAGTAACATCATCATCCTCCAGGAGCACATTCTTTTATGTCTTTTTTTGGTATTTTTTGAGACAGGGTTTCTCTGTGTAGCTTTGGTACCACCACCCGGCCAGGAGCACATTCTAAACTATCTGACTGTAGTAACCATTTTGACTGTCCACTAGAAATGGAGGGACTACTGGCTGCTTCTGCCTAGCTACCATTTTGGCAGGAGGCTGCCAACTTCCAGCCTGTGCATCAGGGCTGATGGTGAGCATGACTGTACTCTGTTGTAGTAGTGGTTACAAGTGCCAGCAGTGGCCATGCCTTTCCTGCTCTTCCTATCTAAAGAGCTTTATCTCATCTGGATCCTTTGCTCATCGACTCTGATTCCTGCCACTTCCTGGCAGCTCTGATAGTGTGCTGTGTATCTTTTTGCTTCTTCTCTGCCCCACCCTAGAGTGTAAGCTCCACATAGGCAAGAACTGTCGGTTGTTCAGATCCTCCACTGTAGCTAGGACATCGAGGAAGGATGCTGGGAGTTGATTTGTACCAGGTACAGTACACTGAGTACTTTATGTGATTATTTCCTCTCATCTTAATTTAGAGGTAGGAGTTACCTTGTTTTACAAATGAAGAAACCGAGGTCCCATGAGATTAAGAATATGACATAAGGTTATACAATCTGTGAGTGACAGGGCTGGCATTTGATTCTGGATTGCTGCTCTATGAACTCCTTAATTGCTAACCTTTCTTGACCTTCCTTTCTTGCACAGGGTCTGGGGACATGGCCAGAAAGGCTCTCAAGCTTGCTTCCTGGACCAGTGTGGCTCTTGCTGCCTCTGGTGTCTACCTCTACGGGAACAACTACTTGGACCCTAATGACTTTGGCGCCGTTAGGGTGGGCCGAGCTGTTGCTACGGTAGGTTTTCCTCCTTTGGGGGTGGCAGAGGAGTTACAGCATTTCTTGTAGGTGTTCATAGGTGCGGCAGGTGGGCGTGCTGACATATATGGACATACAGGCATGCCAGCTCTGTGTAGCTGGAAGTTTTCCTGTGTCCCTCCTGGTCTGCAGCTGCTCAGACCTGAGTAAACATACAGAGGCTTATATGAATTAAAACTGCTTGGCCATTAGCTCAGGCTTACTACTGACTAGCTCTTACACTTAAACTCAGCCCATTTCTGTTCATCTATATGTCACCATGTGTTCCAGGGCTTTACCTGTACAGTACCATTACATGCTGCTCCCTTGTAGTTGAAGTTTTCCTGTGTCCACCTGGGTCCTGCAGCTGCTCAGACCCAAGTAAACACACAGAGACCTATATTACTTATAGACTGTATGGCTGTGGCAGGCTTCTTGCTCTCTAGTTCTTATATCTTAAATTAACCCATTTCTGTAAATCTATACCTTGCCACATGGCTCATGGCTTACTGGTATCTTTACATCTTGCTTCTCATGGCAGTAGTGGCTGGCAGCATCTCCTGACTCAGCCTTTCACTTCCCAGAATTCTCCTCTCTGCTTATCCCGCCTATACTATACCTCCTGCCTGGTTACTGGCCAATCAGCATTTTATTTATCAATCAATCAGAGCAACACATTCACAGTATACAGAAAGACATCCCCAGTACTCCCTGGACAGAGGTCTGGCATTTCCTGACTCAGCCTTCCTCTTCCCAGAATTCTTCTTGTCTGCTTATCCTGCCTATATTTCCTGCCTGGCTACTGGCCAATCAGCATTTTATTAAACTAGTGTGCAAAAGCATAATCCCACAGCATTTCCCCTTTTCTGTTTAACTAAAAAGGAAAGTTTTTAACTTTAACATAGTAAAATTATACATAACAAAACAGTTATCAAGCAAGAATTACAGTTATAATATCTAGTCTGTTTGTATTTTGCAAAATTAAAGAAGATATCCTATCTATTCTATATTTGTGAGTCTAAGGTTTCATATCTACCTTATCTCTTATCATAACCAAGGAATATTATAATTTTAACTATGTAGTCTTCAACTACATCAAAGACCTCAGAAGGATACATTATTATTTAAGTAAACAGGAAGAGCATTGTAAGCAACTTCCAAAAATCTAGAATGACAGAGCCAGCTGCCTGCCTAGACAGTTACCCAAAGTTCCTCTGTAATGTTGGGGCATCCATCTTCAGCCCATAGGCCTAGTCTCTCAGTCATTTTTTTTCTCTGTGTCCTGTAGAATGTCTGGTAGTTTCTTCTGCAAAGCAGGAACCTGAAGGACCATCTTGCCTTGCAAATTTCAGTGGTCACCTTTCTATGGGTTTTGCATGTCTGGTTTATACAACATTTTGTCAAGCAGCCCAGGCAAGAACAGTTTCTTGTCCAAATGGCTATTTTTGCCAAGAAGAAGATAAACTCCATATGGAGTGTCTTCGACACCCATCTTCCTTTTTGAAGTAAATCAGTGCTGCCAGGAGCAGACATATCTCACTGTCCAGAAAGTCTAAGTTTTTAAAACATTTTAAATGCCGTCTTCTGTAGATCTTTGAAGTGTTTGAAGATTAACTACCTAATTGAATTATATCTATGTATACACCTAGAAAACTCAACATGACTGTAAGTTTGACTATCATAGAAGACTAATTATTAATCTGTATTTCTTAATTATCCATGATAATTCAAATGAGTTATATAAGTATAATATCTTAAACAAGAGTAGATATGTATATACAGTATAACAAAATTAACTTTAAATTTGTATCAGTAAACTAAAATCTATACCAATGTAAAACATTTTAAACAAGTTGCTCTTTAAAAGTAGGTTCAACAATCCACCTTTTTAACCTATCATATCTATATCCTATATTTCCATATCATATCCCCCTTTCTTCTTTTAGAAAGATATTATGACCAATAACAATTTGTAACCAGCTATCTAAAGAAAGACAAACATCCATAATCTATTTTTTTGTGAATGTGGGTGTAATTTTCTAGGCTACTTCCTGCTGATAGAGAGTACTGGTAATCTTATGGGGACACAAAGAAAATTTTAGGATTATGGTCAAGTCCTGACTGGAGTAGTCTGTGAGGCTGTATTCTCTGAGCAAGTTGCCTTGAAGTTGATTTTAGATGTTGGATGATCTGGGCCATGGTGTCATTGGAGACTTTTCAGGGGGTCTTGGCTAGTCAAACCATATTAGCCTGGAAGCAATCCACAGGTTCCCATCTTCCATGGAAACAAAAGCAGAACCTCTTTTCCAAAGCAACAAATCCTTAGACATAATTTGTGAAATCAAGATATCTTTAAATATATATATATATATATATATTTAAAGATATCATATATATATATGTTTAACTCAGCAGCTTTTACAATCAAATGTCTCTCTGCAGTTAAAAATCCCAAAGACAATATAATCCAGACTCCCTGTTGAATATCTTTATGTGGCTTATTTTTTATATTACCTTTACTGTCTCTTTAAAGCCTTTATTTTTTTAAAACTTTCTATTTCTTTATATAACTGTCTATATTCCTTTTCCTCTCCCAAGCCTACATACATTTTTACACACACTGTAAACCATTTAGAGGTTTATTTAATCTGCACCTGACTTATTGTGAATCTGTTGCTTTAAACTGTAGAATGACTAGGACTGAAATGGCAGCTTTGGCTGCTGGCTTCACCCACCTCAGCTTCCCAACATGGCGGGACTACATTTACAGCCAGCTCTGGGAGAACCATGCTCACCACTGACTCTGGGAAGCAGTGGGTCTATGCTTTCATCCAGCAGCATATAGTCCAGAAACTTCTTTTTTTTTTGAGAAACCCTGTCTTGAAATTTAAAAAATAAAAAAATAAAAAAGGAAAGTCGTGAGTTTCAACTTAGAAAGGTGGGCGGACCCAACAGTGAGATGTCCATTCTCTGGAGGCCTCTGGTCCTGATCATCCTGGTTTATTTATTATTCAGTGAGTAAACCTTGCTGGTAGCTGGTGCTCAACATGTACTGGTGGAAAGAAATTAGGCTTTGAGTGAGTACAAATGAACATTTTTTTTTGTTTTTGTTTTTGGAGACAGGGTTTCTTTGTGTAGTCTTGGCTGTCCTGGAACTGGCTCTGTAGACCAGGCTGGCCTCAAACGCATACATCTACCTACCTCTGCCCTCCGAGTGCTGGGATTAAAGGCATGCACCACCACTGCCTGGCTGTAAACAAACATTTTGAATATAAATCTCAGAATGTAGTTTCTAAGGTCTTTAGCTGCTCAGCTCTGAAAAGGAAAGTTTGAGCTTAAGTCTTCTCCATGCTGGAGATGTGCTGGAAGCCTGTGATTTTCTTGTTGACTGTGGATTAGGGCCCCTCATTGGAGGGCTTTGACCAGAGGATCTATAATGGAATCTCAAATTTAACAGCATTCATTTGGTTAGTATTTATTGAATGTCTATCTGTGTAGTGTAAAAGATGCTGGAGAACAGTAATATGTAGGAAGGACCAGCCTTAAATTCAGACAGTTCACAAACAAGGAAGCAAATGGGCAAGTGACTTTAGAGGTGGTTGATTATGATCGATTATGGACAGTTTCTGTTGTATAAAGGCCACTTGAGCTGGGACATCTCTGGATGAGTGTCATTTGTACTCACCGCTGTAGTCCGGGAAGGAGCATCCAGGCTGAGATATGGGGGCTGAGCACCCAAAGGGTGGGACCAGTTACTCTTCTAGACCCAGCAGCTCCTGTGTGGGTCTCCTGGCTTTGGCAGAGGTGTGGTATTTGGTGTCCTCAGTGTTAAGCTTTCTCCTCCCTCGGTTCACAGACAGCTGTCATCAGCTATGATTATCTCACCTCCCTGAGGAGTGTCCCATATGGCTCAGAGGAGTATTTGCAGCGTCGATCCCAGGTAAGGAAACTGTGGGACCCATCAGAGCTGGGCCCGGATGGGGTGTGTCCGAAGAATGGGCACAGAGTGAGCATGGAGGTAATGGCCACTGGCCATGGGGTTTGGGACAAAGGGAACGGAAGACCACCTGCTCCTTCCTACGCAGGTGCCTTAGTATCCGTGAGTGGGACTGCCATCCCAGATCGAACTGGGTCTTCCATACTGGGGTGGTTTGAAAGAAAATGGCCCCAAAGGGAGTGGCCCTATTGGAGGTGTGGCCTTGTTGGAGTAGGTGTGGTGTTGTTGGAGGAAGTGTGTCACTGTGGAGGTGGACTTTGAGGTCTCATATCTGCTCAAGCCAAGCCACACTCAGTGTCTCGGACTGCTGCTTCCTGTTGCCTGTGAGTCAAGATGTAGAACTCAGCTATCTCTCCAGCACCATGTCTGCCTGCACGCTGCCTTGCTCCATACCATGGTGATAATGGACTAAACCTCTGAAACTGTAAGACACCACCTCAATGAAGTGTTTTCCTTTATAAGAGTTGCTGTGGAGCCGGGTGGTGGTGGTGTACACCTTTAATCCCAGCACTCGGGAGGCAGAGCCAGGCGGATCTCTGTGAGTTTGAGGCCAGCCTGGGCTACCAAGTGAGCTCCAGGAAAGGCGCAAAGCTACACAAAGAAACCCTGTCTCGAAAAACAAAAAACAAACAAAAAAAAAAGAGTTGCTGTGGTCATGATGTCTCTTCACAGAGATAGAAACCCTAACTAAGACACATACTAAGGGTGCCGCATGTGGTTGGGGAGGCCACTGTGTGTTTCTGGGAACAGCAGGGATGTAGGCCAACTCAGGAGGGATAATAACTTCCAAGCTGTGTTGTTAGGCAGAGAGAGGTGAATTGTTTTCCTGTCCTCTGAAGGCCAGTGGCCTTCAGTAGGAGTAAAGCTGTGGACCTCACACACCTCTGCGGTCAGAATGTAGTTGACATAGATGCATTAGAGATACCAGGGCGATGGGGGATCACACATGAGTTCAAACAGAGAGAGGGTGACAATGGACGGGCGTGTCTTTGCTCAGGTGGTTCCTGCGGCCGGACTGTCCTTAGAATGCTGAGCTTTGCTTCTGGGCTCAGTGTGGACACCTCTTCTCTGTGCTGTTTTCCTTCCAGGCATCCTTTGTGGATGGGAGAGTTAATGAAAACATTTTCATTTAGACTGTTCACTTTGCACGTTTTAACACAGAGAGCAGAGCAGACTATAATGACCCCACTCCTCCCCTGGAGCTGTCCAGCCTGAGGAATGATTGATTTGTCATTTCTCTGGTTTACTTACTCACTCTGAAGTGTTTAAACGAAACCTCAGGTGTCATATTGTTCTACGTATAGATTCTTCAGTACATGTCTCTAGTGGAGAAAGACCTTTGAAGAACCACAACCATAATATTGTGGTCACGTGTAACGAGATGAGCAATTTCACAGTAACTTCTGGTTCAGGTCCAGATTGCTCTTCTCCCAGAAATGTCTTTTTAAAGTATTGTTTTAAATTTATGAGTATGTGTGAACTCTGTGTGTGAGTGTGTGTATGTGAGTGTGTGTGTGAGTGTGTGTGTGTGAGTGTGTGTGAGTGAGTGTGTGTTAGTGTGAGTGTGTATGTGAGTGTGTGTGTGAGTGTGAGTGTGTGTGGTTGTGTGTGTGTGAGTGTATATGTGTGTGTGTGAGTGTGTGTGTGTGTGTATGAGTGTGTGTGTGTGTGTGTGTGTGTGTACATTGGGTGGCTACTCTACCACTCTCTGCTTGATTTTCTTAGGCCAGGTCTCTCACTGAACCTGGAGTGAAGCTGGTGGTCCGCAAGCCCCATGTGATCCTCCTGTCTCCACCAGGTTCACAATGCTGGGCTTAGAGGTGTGCGACACCACATCTGGCTTTTTACCTGGAATCTGGGAATTTGAACCCAGGTCCTCAGACTGGCACTCTTACCGACTGAGCCATCTCCCCAGCCCTGAGATTTATCTATTTAGAGTTAGTTTGTTCCAACCTGGACCCAAACATTTTATATATATGTATTTCATTTTGCTGACATTTCCTGAGTCTTTTAGAATCCATAACATTTCTTCTCTCTTCCTTTATTTTATTTTTTATTTAGTTATCACTTGTTGGAGAGCTGGATCATTTATTCTGTAGAATTTCCACATTCAGGATTTGGCTGATTGCTCCCTCAAAGTGCTGTTTAATGGGAAATGCATTCAGATGACTCACAATTCGAAATATACAATATTTGAAACAGACAAAATGACCCTTGTTCCTCAGGTACCCAATTTCCCTGCCTGGAGGCAATCATCATTTCTTGTGTGTCTTCCCAGAGCTATCTTCCTATAATTTAATCACTCTGTCTTTATTCCTGCCATAGATGATAGTTAGTTACACATCTTTTCTTATACTCTTGCTTCTCTTACATTGGAGATTGGGACTCTCGGTTTGTATATTTAATCTTCAGCAATAATGCCTAGGATGGGGGCTGGAGAGATGGCTCAGTGGTTAAGAGCACTGGCTGTTCTTCCAGAGGACCCAGGTTCAATATCCAGCACCCACATGGCAGCTCACAGCTGTCTGTAATGCTTACACCAATGCACATAAAATAAAATTATACCAGGCTTTTTCTTTTGGGCCACCAACCAGCTCCCAAATCATAACATGGAGACTTACTAGTTTTGAGTGCCCGGCTTTAGCTTAGCTCATTTCTAGCTAGCTCTTTTGGCTTAAATTAACCTGTTTCTCTTTTTCTACCTTTTGCCTTGGGGTTTTTTACTTTCTTTCTTTGTATCCTGCTTTCACTGCTTCTCATGTGTGCTGGCTGTTGGCTCTCTGGCTTCTGGCTCCGGGTGTGTCCCACATTCTCTCCTCTTCTCCTTCTTCTTCTCTTGTTCCTCCTTGATTCCTCTTGAGCCTGGATTTCTGCTCTTATTTATTCTCTCCCTGCCAGCCCCACCTATCCTCTCTTTGCCTGGCTATTGGCCATTCAGGTCTTTATTAGACCAATCACGTGCCTTAGGCAGGCAAGGTGAAACAAACGCAACACATCTTTTCATAATTAAACAAAGGCAGCAGAAACAAAATCAACATACCTTTACACAGTTAAAAGTCATATTCCACAGCATAAACAAATGTGACACATCTTTGCCTAGTTAATATTCTTCAACATAAAATTAAATAAATTATTAAAAAACAATGCCTAGAATAGAATGGGTTTAATGTCTGTCTCAGTGTCAGCTTATGCCCTTGCCTTTGGAGAGGCCACAGAAAGAGTCTAAGGTTTTCATCCCGAATCCTGAGGTTGTGCCTTTGCTTTGGGAAGGTCATCCAGCCCTGTGGAGTGGCTGTTTTCCTTGTCTGTAAACTAGAGATGGTGAGCACCATTGGAGTCAGTGAAAGATAAAGCAAATGTGAGGATAAGTCAGAGGTCTCCTGGAAGGTGTGTTTCATGAGGACAGACCTGGCATAGGGTGTGAGTCTCCAGGTCTGCGGTGCCGATACAAGTGCCTGGGACTTCGTTGGTTCTGAATAAAGGCTTGAACAAATGAATGGATGGTATCAAGGGTTCTCTGTAATATCTCAAGGCCCTTGTTTCTGAGGTGTAGTTCTCCTCTGCTTCCCCCTATGTCCTTTCTTCATCTATTCCATGCCGTGGCCCTTGGAATCCTCCAGAGTGACATTCTTCAGAGATTTCCAGGCCAGGAAGGTGTGTCTTGGGGAATCCCGGGAGCAGACAGGCTGTGAAGAGACTTGCTCTCCAGGATGTAAGTCATCTGGAAGGCAGTGATCCTGCAGGCCCCCTAGAAGCTGCCAGCTCTGGGAATCTTCTGGGTGAGGGAAGTAGAGCTAGGCCTTTGATGAGAGGGCAGTACACAGTGGCTGGATGCACCCGCTAACAGAGTGTAGGCTGGGTCCTGGGAGTTGTGCCTGGGAAGGGGATCCAGTAGGCACAGAAGAGCGTGAATAAATACTGCAGAGATGGTCTCATCATCACAACTGATAAAGGAGTGAGCAAGGAAAAAGCACCATTAGCTCCCTCGTCAAGCTGGCATCTCCAGGTTCCGGAATGTGTTAGAGCCAGGGGACTTAGTGCAGCAGTCAGTGACTTGAAGGACTTTCAAGGTCGGCACTGGCAGGCTGGCTTCGTGACTCACATGCACTGCATCATGAAGGGGAAGAAGAGAAAACATGTGGCACTTTGCTAGGCAGCTGAGGGTGTAAGGATGGGCTCTGGAGAACTGGATCCCTGGTGCCTAGATGCTTGTAACTGAGGTTTGTGCGACTGGACATGGTCACCATCCAGAAGGAAGTCGCTCCTAGTATAGATGTCCTGTCAAAAGGCTGGAGGTGACAGGACAGGATGGAGTCAATTCTGAATGAAGGATCATTGGGCAATAGTGGGTATCCTCTTCATAGGAAACAACTTCTGGATTTTCCTTTGGTGATCTACTGTATTGTATTCTCCCTCTCTCTTAGACACACACACACATACACAATTGTATGAGTTTTAGGACTCCATAAGCAGTTGGTAGAGTCAATTCTGCTAGTCCCAGATACTAGGGATGATCCCTAGAGCCAGTTCTGACCAGTGAACATTAGGTCCAAACATTTCTTTTGAAACTTCAGCTTCCTTTTTCTGCTGGGTTAACCGAGAGTGTAGGCTGTCGGCTAATTTCTGCTGGCAGCCATCCGGCCACTGTGAAGAGAAAGCCCATTTGTGGGTGAAGTTGGTATTCAAGAGTTGGGTTATGTGAGTTCCTGTTAAAACCAATGAGTCTTGGTAATACTGGGAACTCTTGGAGAAGGATGTCCAAGTTTGAAGCATGCTTGGCATTTTGACAGGTCACAGAAAGATCAATAATTCAAGGGAAATGATGCCAAGGAGAGGTTTATATGGTACAGGGTTGAAATGGAGCCCCTGTGGATCAGGAGCCATCTCACCTGGTCTTAGTCCTTGCCAAGCACCTGTTTCCCTTCTGTAAGAATGTGGCAATG